CAGCTCTTAGGTCTACATTCCTTCAGGGCTGGCTCCTGGAGTGTTGTTTTGCTCCAGTGATTGGGCCATCTTCCCCAGTTGATTTGTATGCCTTGAAATCTTTAGTTGGGATTTGGGCATTTGAAGGAGCAATCACCTCCCCGAGTCTTTGCATACCCGCTTGGTGCATAGGAAGACCTTCACCGATTGGCTGGAAGCTCTAGGACCTCTCAAACCTTTTCCAATGTCTTCTTGCCCCTGACATCTACCTACATAACTGCAGCTCTTACCTGCTGCTCACTTCTGTTTACAGGAGCTTCCAGACTCTATCTCAGGTTACTTCAGCCTTCCAAGTCAGGCAAGACGGAAACCAGTCCGTCAAATAGCCCCCAAACAAGCCAGAACATTGTATGCATGGTCCACTCTCTTGTTTTTATCCCAAGGGAGGGGTCCAGAATTCGTGACTTTTTTCCCTCGTTGCTCCACACTACACCACGTAGAGGGAGGAGCACAAGGGATATGCTGAATGCTGGGAATTTTCCTACCTCTGTCGCTGGAATCTCTTCTTGGTTTTACAGGGGCCAGTGTGCTGTTGCTTGTCCCATGATCTCTACAATTCTCACAGAGGTATTCAGGTGTTTACATAATGTTGTTAACTTAATGTCTCTATGGGGGAAGGAGGGCCTGTAGCTTTCTTGACTGCTGTCCCGCTGGTGTCACTTCCATAGGGAACTTTTTAACAAGTGGTATTGGAAAAACTGGATCACCCCTCCCACCATATATGAGGATACATTTCAAGTGGACCGGAGTTTACAATGTGAAATACAAAACTCTATCTACAGGAGACAATCTTGACTACATTTAGAGTGGGAAATCTTTCCTGGCTATGACTAAAAACCCAAAAGATATAAGGCAAAATATTGATAAAGTTTATTAGGGAAACGTAAAATGCTTTTGCATGGCAAAAAAAAAAAAAAAAAATGAAACAAAACACCACCGATGAGGTAAAAATATTCATGACAAACAGGAAAAATGATTTATGACTTATATCAGAAGCAAAGGTAAATGTCCTAATATATCCCTAAGATACAAATAACTTTTCTTGGAAAGGAAAAAATGCCAAGGCCCCTATACTAACTGGGCCAAAACTATAAGCTAAAATTACATAAGAATAAAGCAAACAGGAATTTATCTTAACCATATGGAAAAGATGCACAACCTGGCACATATGAAGAGAAGTGCAAGTTAACGTATATACACAAATATGTCATTTCTCTCCTTTCAGATGGGCAAATTCAAAAATCTGGCAATACTACCGGTGAGATGCTGGGAAAACTTTCTCTCTCCCATATTGATGGGGAAAAGACAAATGGTCCATCCCTCTTGAAGAGGTATTGACAGTGATGAGCAAGACACCTTGCGTTTTCGCCTTTTACGCAGCAATGGTACATCTAGGGATCAATCCCAAAGACGTAGTGATACAAAAATTGCTGAAGATATGTCATAAGCCTATCCGTTGCAGCCATATTTAAAATAATAGCCAGAATATAAACAACCAGAGTGTCCATCAATAGAAGACTAGTTGACCCAACTATGGTAGGTCCACACAATGGAGTACCCTCCAGCTGTTGAGAGGAGTGAGGGATGTCTCCAGGGAGCACTGTGGAGTGATCTCAAAGATTTCTTTTTTCTCTCTCTGTGTCCCAGGCTGCAGAGCAGTGACGCAATCTCGGCTCACTGTGACCTCCGCCTCCTGGGTTCAAGCGATTCTCCTGCCTCAGCCTCCTGAGTAGCTGGGATTACAGGCACCCACTGCCACATCCGGCTAATTTTTGTATTTTTAGTAGAGACAGGGTTTCACCATGTTGGCCAGGCTGGTCTCGAACTCCTGACCTCAAGTGATCTGCCTGCCTCGGCCTCCCAAAGTGTTAGGATTACAGGCGTGAGCCACCACGCTGGCCTCAAGGATTTCCTCAAGGATTTCTTTTTTTTTTTTCACTTTTAGTAACTTTGTTTATTCGTGTGTCTTTAACCACTTCAGTACGTGCATTACATTGTAGCTACCACACCTACTCGCTGAAATAACACAGTTTTCAACATGGGGAACAAGTAGCACTTATAGTAACTTTTCTTATATGTGTGACTTTAAATGCTTCACAAGATGCATAATAGTGTGGTCAGTACATCCATTCACTGAAATAACACTGTTCTCAGCTTGGCGATCAAGTGGCCTCAAAGATATGTTTTTAAGTCTAGAAAAAAAAGGCAAGGTGGAGAACTTTATGTGTTAATAGTTTACGCAGCATTTATCTAAGCAAAAGGAGGGAGCATAATGAACGTCAGTCTCTCTAAAGAGAGATACAGGTCCAATGGCCAGGTAATACCAGTTGCCCCCATTCCTTTAGCCTTTAAGAAATCTGTTGACAAAAAAGAAAAAGAACTCTGTTACATATAACCCTGTACGAATGGGTTTTGCTAATTCTGAGATCCCTACCACTCACCTCTACCCGACTTTGGCCCCCTCCAGGAATGCACATTCCCACATAAATGGTTTTGACTATTCATTCCGCCCAATATTTGTCCCAGATCTTTCCATTTTTTAATTTAAAATAATATTTTCTCACACATTTTGGGCTGTTCCTGGTCAGAAACCAGCAGTAGCAGCCCTTCATGGCCCTGCAGTGTTAGTGGAACCCACTTTGAAAAAGCAGTCTTTCTGGGCAAGGGTTGAAAGCGGTGGAGTACTGGACCTGGCTCTTACTGGAACTTAAGAGCCAACTATAAGATTTTCAAGAATTTTGTGAACCAGTTGTTAATACAGCCATTATTAAAAACTAAATTATAGAAACTAACAATCACATCAATTATATTGAGAACAAACATGATATATTCTCAAAAATAATCAATCCCTAATTATTTTTGTACATTGTACCCTTATCTGTGTTCTTGTGGTTATTTATGTTTGTCATATCTGAGTGGTAAAAGTACATCTCTTCCCAACTCTGCATTCACTGACATCACTTTGCTAACTTGCATTCAGCAAATGCAACAACCCAGAGCATTTTCCCCAACCTTCCTTCCCTAAGAGCCAGTTGCTAAACCTGTACATGCACACTAGTGGTTGAAATTGATCCACTCTACAGAAGCTCTGATGGGATGGATAGGCTCAGATCTAACCAATGCTGTTATATGACATATGTGAGTCAAGACATAACTCACAGTGCTCTATACAGTGACGTTTCAAATGTGTGAACTGGGCTAGTACACAACTAAGGGAAGTACACGAAAAAGGTTTGATATTTAACAGTCACAAAGATGTCCTAAGATGCAAAAACTACATGATTATGAGACTTTTGAAAAAGTGTGTGTGTTGCGGAAGGGTAGGGGGACCAGGAAAACCGAAGGGCACAGGGAAAAGGGCCTCACTCCTTCCCCCAACGCCCACCGCTTTATTTCTGTTTTTCCTCCCTCTTCTCATGCCACATCCTTTAACGAAAATATGCTTCCTCTTTTACCCAACTCAACCCTGGGACTGTGGTGTGCCTAGGACACAATTTCATAGCAGGATCTTAGTCCTCTCCCAGGTACTACTGCTTCATTCTTCCAGAAATATGTGGACTTGTCCACCCATCACTGGGAATAGAGGGGATTTGGGATCATTTGTTTGAGTAAAAAATCAGGGAGGGAAGGAAAGTGTGAGATGGACTTCAGTCTTGCTCTGAGTCTGAGTGGCTTTGCATGTTTGTTTCTCTGCCATCAGATCAAGAATATAAGAATCCTGACTGCTCAGTGTCTCAAAAAAGAAAAGACTGGTTGTAACTGGATGTCATCCCAATCAATCGTCTTGGGTAAAGTACTGGCAGGGAAGAAAGGCGGGAGATAATAGCATGGAAAGGGCCCATATCCAGGCATGTCCAATTGAGCTTTCTCTCTGCCTGGTGGGGGTCTCCAGGTCTTCATTTGTTTAGAATATCAGCAGAGGACTGGGAAACCAGTGCAGGTAAGAAAGATGTGATCGATTACTACGTATTGTTACCTCGAGTAAGAAATAAAGGGACTATTTTGCAAAAACCCTCTGGCTGATGCTTGTCGCTTTGAGTTTTGAACCTTTTATTCAGTGCTTTATGAAAAATCGAATTATAGCAAATTTAGGGCCTGGTAAAGACAAGGGAGTGTTCGCTGATCTTTGGCTTAAAATTTCCCCAAAACCACTTTCGCAAGCCACTTTCATTCTTTTGAGCGTGTTTCCTCATAGGCAAAATGGCAACAGTAACGCTTGGCTTGCAAAGTTACCGTGATGCTGTATGTGCTTAGTGCGGTGAGCACAGAATAAATAAAAGGTAGTGATGCTTCCTCATATTTCAAGGGTCCTTCAGAAATAGGGTCCTGAGTCTAATTCATTTCCCCGATTTGATTCTTCTTATCCTGATTGGCCTCAGTTTTCCCCCACTGTAAATTCACATTTGAGTAGAATAAAACTGGCATTCCCATTGGCCAAAACTGTCCTTCATGGAAGTTTGGTTTGGCCCAGATATAGGGCTTAAAGAAGAAACCCGAGCCAAAGTTTATAAGTTGAGTGATTTTATATAGAAATCTAGAATTCCACCTTCTCTTGACAAAACAGTCAATTTGGCCACCATGAGTCACTATCCCTGCATGGTAACAATTGCCTAGGGCCAAGCAGCAGCTGCCCACTTAGGTAGAGCATACACTGTCAGTCTGGCCAGAGCCCATCGGGCCTGCTCTACTCATTTACATGATCTGCTTGATCCTGTGGGCATTGCCACTCATGGCCCTCTGGACAACTGGAAACAGTCGGTGTCAGGCAGAGGGTAGGTACTTAACTGCTCAATGAATAAATGCCCTATTCTTTTTCCTCTACCATTTTCTTATCTAGGCATGTTAAGAAATCCCAGTTATTGGATAAGGTGATTCTCACTTTGAAACATGAATTGAACAAATTGGTTAGAGTCAGAATAGTCTGGGTTATACTGTGGTAACAAACAACCCGTATATCACAGTGCCTTATAACAACGAGGGTTTATTATTTGTTCACGTACATAAACCTAGACACAAAGTGAAAACATCTTCATGTTTCCACATGCATGGGTACACACATAAGTGCACAGGTATGTCAACAATCACAAGACGAATAAAAACTCTGGCATATGAACTCACACAGAACCCCACTGAGAGACTGATCAACTTATATTGCACAATCCTGTCCTTGTGAGACAGAAAAAGGGCCCAGCATCCAAAAGAGTAAGGGATAGACATACGAGAATATCCACCCTCAGCAAAGGAATCGCCCCATATAATAAAAAGCTTATAAAACACCTGAAGGCTCTAAAAAAAGATGTTAAGCGTTTTGGACATTACCATTTTGCACATTCAGAAACTGGATACCAAGTAGGCAGTGCTCTATTGAGGCCTCCTCCTCTGGGTTCCTAGCTCAAGAGGGAGATGCATCCCAGATGTCCAATAGGGCAGCGAGATGGAGCTGGCTGTCCTGGGGCGGAGAGAGGGGCTGGGAGGCTGGAATCCTTTATCTCCAGCAGGAGCTGTGGACAGAAAGAAGGGGGCCGGAGCCAGGTCACATCCACATCCCCTTCCAGGTCTATGCTTTTTACACGTCCCGCCCACCCAAAGATTTGTCACCTGGACTGTTGCGTAGACCTCTTCCTCTCTGATTTCCCCATCTCCCATCTTGCCTCCCCTAATCCCTCCATCAAAGCCACCACAACTCCTTTTGTTAAGCTCAGGGTCTCTGAAATTGTTTCTCCCTAGCTCAGAAAACGTTCCCTGGCTCGTCACTACCCACAGTTGCTGGTCCAGCCTCCTAAGCCTGACCTGACAGACCTCTGTGATTGGTACTCTCTCCAGCCTCATCCCTTTCTGTTAGCAGTCCCTCCAGGGTTGTATCTTCACTGACACACCATGCTCCATCCACCATTTTGATCTGGGATGCCTAGCCTTCCCTCACAGCCTCCCCAGTTCTTTATCCCCCCTCTGAGCTCCTCCAGCCCCTCCTCTCTGGGCACATCATTAAAATTTGGCCACAAAACACAGCTTGCCAAGGCATCCAGGCTCCACATCGAGACTGGAAGCTCCCGGAAGGCAGAGACCAGACCTCCTTCCAGACCAAGCCCTTTATCACCTCTGTATGTCCTCCCCAGACCACAGTAGGCCACAGGAGGCTGAGCATAGAACCTGGGATGAAAGTCAGGGAGCCGGTTCTTCCAGTTGATATGCTGCATGCTTGAGGGCAAGTCCCTGCCACCCTCAGGCCTTCTTTCTTGACATCGGGGCACTGGACGCTTGCTGTTGTGCACAAAGCTCAATAAACTGAAGATTCACTAAACAGCCCTCAACTACCATCTCGGGAGTCATCCTGAAGAGCTTGGGTGCTTGGCCCCAAGGAGATTCAACTTACTGACTGATTTTTCGGTTAGAACCTGCTTACCACGACGACCCCCATTCCCAGCTATTCCCACTCTGTGTTCTCCTTTCAGGGAGCAGGCTACCTGGTGGGTTGCAGGGCTGGTGCAGGGAGATGGAGTCAGGAGGGGCCTGGGCAGAGTTTCTCAGAGTCAGCAGAGCCTCAGCAGCCTCCAGCTTCCGCTGCCACTCTGAGTAGGCAGAAACCAAAGCCTGGTCAGAGACTTTGGAGACCTGCAAAGGAAAGGGTGTGAGAGAATAGGCACTGGGAAACTACACCTCTTCGCAAGGCCACAAGTGCCCCTTCAGCCCCCTGTTCCCTCAACCTCCTCCCCCACCCCCCACCAAGGCCTTCTGCTCTTCCCATCCACTAAGCTCCGCCCCTCCCAGGGTTCTGGATCCCACTACTTTCCCAGGACCTGTGGCTGCAGTAGAAGAGGGTCAAGGGTGGCACAGGGCTGGAGGATCAGAGTTGAGCATCTAGAAACAAGGAAAGTAGAGGCCAGGGGATTAAATCTGCTGGCAGACACATCCTACCAGTAGACACAGAGAGGGGCAGGATTTTCCAATATCTGGATGTGGGGATCCCAATGCCTGCTGGACCATTGGTCATTGTGGCTGGGGCAAGTCCCTTCTTCTGTTTGTCCAGGTTTCTTTCCCACACCTCTTTTCCATTACAGGGACATTGTTCCTACCAGCTTTTTCCTCCCAGGGCAATGACAAATATCATGGGAAATTACAGGTGTCTGTGTTTTAATTTGCAAAGCACCTGGAGAGATGTTATTACTGTCCCTGCTCAGGGACTGATTCTCACTTCCATATTGCCCAGTCCTCACTGGTCTTGAAGGACAAGCATGGCTCACCTCCAAGAAGCTTTCCTTAATGGCCTCCAGGCTTTGCCTTGGGCCTCTGTGGCCCTTGTCAGCACAGACCCTACCTTTCAGCAGGACCTTCTATCCCATCCACCTGTTTCATGTGAAACACAACTCCCATTTGTTGAAGCCCTACTACGTAGCAGGCCTTGTGCCAGTTGTCTTTTCAATGCTATGGGTATAGAATATTGTCCTCAGCACATCCATAGGGAAATGGAGGTTCAGACACATAAAGTCACTTGTCCAAAGTCTCAAAATAGAAAATAGCAAAGCTAGGAGAGCCCTGTCCTTACCCGTTAGTCTTAGATGCTACCTTGCTCTCCTCCTCCTCCTCCTTCTCCCTCCTCTTCCTCCTCCTCCTCCTTCTCCCTCCTCCATTTCCCATGGCATCAGGAACAAGGTTAGGCACACAAGACACAACCTACTCCCTGGTCCTCACACTACTCACATGCTGGGCAGGGCAGGGGCCCTGTGGGGATCCCCAGAAGGAGAAACCAGTTGCTGCTCCAAGGTCACTGGAGTACGGGGCAGAGACAAAGTTTCTGGGGCATGGCCAAGCAGCAGAGCCCCTTGGGAGCTCCCTGCAGGGGCAGAGAGCACACGTTGCAGTCAGGTACCAGGCTGGCCATGGAGAGAGGAGGTGTGGACATCTTTTGGGATGAGGATAGGAGCCTAGAATGTCAGTGCTCTAAAGACCTTGAAGACCAAGCAGTCTTACCTTTCATTTTGCAACTGGGGAAATTGAGGCCCAGGGAGGAGAAGCAATTTTTCTCAAGGTCATATGGTGAGCTGATGATAGGACTGGAGATGAAACCCATGTCTTTGGGACACAGTGCAAGGTGTCTGGACAGTGGCTGGGTGGTAGCCTCCCCAACTGGCCACCCGACTCTCCTTACCTCCTCGGGGGCTGTGAAGATGTGGCTCTCAGACTGCAGCATGTTGTTCTCCTTGCCAGCTGCAAAAGACCAGGAGCAGCTTTGGTGAGTCTTTCCCCTCAACCTCACCCTACTTCACCCCACCTCCAGTCTCAGGTCTCATCTCACCATGGAGCTCTTTGATTCCCCTGTGCCCCAGATCTCGCCTTCCTACAAACACTTGGTAGATAACATTGATGACATTTTACAACCCGGGCAAACTAAGGTCCAGGGAGCAACTTGCCCCAGGTCACACTGCAATTCTGTGACAGGACTGGTGACAGAACTACTCATGCTTCCTCCACCCAAACTCTGGCTCCCTCCCTGGCCAGAAACACTCACTGAGAACTCCTGCTCTGATGGTAAAATTCCTGACACGGATGGGAGCTTTGGGAGGGGCAGCCATACTCCTTCTCAGTCCTTGAGCCAGGTGTCTCTTTGGCTGTGCCTGCTGCTCCCTCTTCAAGGCACTCACAGCAGGCAAGACCCTGAGGTGTTCTCTGAAGTAAAGGATTTCAGGGCATAGGTTAGTCCCATTTGGAGGATGCCTGACCCCTCCCCATCTCAGACACCATACTTGTGAGAAGAGGGCACAACTGTGACACTCGCAGGCCTGGAAGATGCAGGAATGCTTGTGGCCACTGATTTGGGCAGTGATGCTGTGGTTGTGGTAGAGGTCACAGCAATCTGTAACTCTTCTGGGGCCAAGTTCAGTACCCCATGGTGCGCCAGTCTCACACCCTGTGGTGCATTCAGAGTCAGAGGGGCAGCAGGATGCAGCAGGTATTTCTCTGGGATCCATGGTTCAGGGTCAGGAGGGGAGGTCAGAAGGGCCACATGATCCCCTAACCCCAACGGACTTCCTCTGCGCTTGGAAAACCCTATCAGAGGTGGCTGAATGCTTCTCCATCCTTCTCACTACTGGAATCAGATTGCCTTCCCTCCCCTTCTCCTCCCATGGTTTTCACCAACCTTCACTGTGACCTCCTTGCTCATGTTGCCTCCTTCCCAGAAAGCCTCGCTCATACACAGCCCCTTCCCAAGAAACTCTTGGCATGGATCCTGTACCCATCGAATCCAGTCATCATTCTCCTTGCTTACCGAACCTTCACCATAGACCCCATTTTCAGGCATGCACATGCACTCCCGTTCCCCCTTCCACCATTACTACACCCGCTTCTTGTGTATCATCCTGCACTCTGCCAAATCAACTATTATTCCTGGCATCCACTTCAATTCGCTTCCGAACCTTCTGTATTCACTCATTCCCCACACGGGATTTTGCGCCCCCAGCACTCAATTCTGTTGCAGTCTCTCCTATGTCCTGTATTCAATTTTCCCCTATATGAAATTGTCCTATATTCAATTTCATGCTGATTCATGCTGATTTTTTTTCTTGCACCCCCACCTTACACTTAATTATTCCCTTGCTCCCCATTTAAGCTGATTTCCCTCCTTGTACCCCATGAAATCATATTGTTCTCCTGGATCCCTGGCCCTCTTTCATTATTATTTTCATTCATCCCTTCATGCATCCCCTTGATTCTTATTTTTTTCTTTGTATTTTATTTTTATTTACTTTAGGTGCATACTATATCTGGCATTTCTCCCATGTTATCCTCCCCACCCTCCCCTCCCTCCCCCACCCCCTGCTGTCTCTCCTTTACCCACCCCCAACTTCCCCCAGTGTGTGATGCTCCTCTCCCTGAGTCCACATGTTCTCATTGTTCAACACCCACCTATGAGTGAGAACATGCAGTGTTTGGCTTTCTGTTCTTGTGTCCTTTTGCTGAGAATGATGGTTTCCAGATTCATCCAAGTCCCTACAAAGGACACAAACTCATCGTTTTTTATGGCTGCGTAGTATTCCATGGTGTATATGTACCACATTTTCCTGTTGCTCAGGCTGCAGCGCAATGGCAGGTCTTGGCTCACTGCAACCTCTGCCTCTGGGATTCAAGTGAGTCTCCTGCCTCAGCCTCCCGAGTAGCTGAGATTACAGGTGTCCGCCATCATGCCTGGCTAATTTTTTCTATTTTTTAGTAGAGGCAGGGTTTCATCATGTTGGCCAGGCTGCTCTTGAACTCCTGACCTCAGGTGAGTCACCCTCCTCGGCCTCCCAAAGCGCTGGGATTACAGGCGTGAGCCACCGCGCCCAGCCGATTCCCTTGATTCTTCATTCAGCATAATCTGTTGAGCCCCTATGAAGTCTCAGTTCCGATCTAGCCCATAGGGAACTCCTAGGGCAGCAGTGTTTCTCTGGGCTGACCCTCTCTGCTTTCATGCAAACCCACACGTTCCCTCCACAGCCTCCCCCAAATCTTCCATACTCCTCTCCACCACTTCAACAATTGTGCTTGAGCACACCATCTCCCCCCACCCCCACCCCACCCCACACACCCAGCCCCACCCCCCAGAATGCGCCACTTCCTTAGGAAGCCCAATCATTCACTCTCTCCTCGACCTCTGAATCAAAAACAGCTCCATGAGGAATTTTTTTCCTTTTTCCTTTCCTTTCCTTTCTCTTTTCTCCTTTCTCCTTTTTCTCCTTTCTCCTTTCTCCTCTTTCTCCTTTCTCCTTCTCCTTTCTCCTTTCCTTTCCTGCCTCATTGCCAAAGGCCGGACTCGGGGGGCTGGAGCAAGGGGTCCGCACAAAAGGGTCCCGGGAGAGCTGACGGCGGAATGGACATCAGGAGAGGATGGGGGGTTCCCTGCTGAGGTAACAGAGAGGGAAGGGTGTGGGGAATCTGGCTCAGGAGGGGTGGGGAGGAAATAGGAGGCGTGGGGAACAAACGTTTAATTCTGATGTCGGCCTGCGGTTACCCCAGCCTCTAGCAGTCAGAATCAGTCAGAGCGTCTGAGGGAAGACCCCCTTCTGCTTCCCTTCCCTCCCTTGCCACAAAGGCCAATGAGCTCTTGCACTGCCTTCGACCTCCCGCCCCTGTGGCTGGCGACCAATGAACTTCGAGACCTCCTGCCGCTCACGCTCTGAGGCCACGCCCCCTCACCGCCCTCTAGCTTCTCCTGTTCGCTGCACTAGATCAGTCAAGAAATCCTGAAGTGATCGTCGAGCTTTATGCTCCCCAAGGCTTGTTTCCCAGATTAGTCTCCCTTTGAGTGTGAAATATTTTGCGTGCATGCATTTTTAACTCATGTACTTGGTATTCTGTAATTTACCTTTTAAAAATTCAGCACGCAATTAAAGATCGATCCATATTTCTATGCCGCGGATTCCCAATCAGTGGTGACTTTGCAACCCCCAAGAAGCAAAGCCTGGAGACACGTTCGTCCATATTTGTGTGCCTCTGTTTACGAACTCCCTGTTACGTTCCATAGATAAATGTGTCTATTCCTGTACCACTACTACATTGTCTTAAATTTTTTCACTTCATAATACATCTTGACAACTGCTAGGGCAAGTCTCTGCATGCTATTCATAATTTCCAAACACATCTTTGCTATCCTTTGCCTTTTGTCCTCCTGCATAAATTAGTATGCAATGTCAAGTCTCCTCCAGACTTGGTTGTAACAGATTTGGATTGCATTTTCACTGAATCTATGGAGCAGTTGGGGGAGAAACCACTATCCGTAGAATACTCAGCCTTCCTATTCACCAACTTGGGATGTCTCCACTTATGTGGGTCCTTAATGTTTTAGTGTTTCAGTTTAGTTTTTAGTTTTATCTTTTGTGCATTTAGGTCTTGCACATCATTTATTGTATTTATCCCAAGATACTGTAGATTGTTGGTGTTCTTGTACTTGATGTCTGTTTAAAATGACAATTTCTATTTGGATCTATTTTACAAAAATGCTTTTAATTTTTCAAAACGTGACTTGATCTTAAAGCCAGCCAACATGCCAAACTCTATAGGCGTTCTGAAATTATCTGTGAGTTTACAAGCAGTAGAAATAGAATTGAACTTACGGTTTTCTGCTTTGTTTTGTTTTTTGACTGTGCTGGCTAGGAAGCCTAGTACGAGATCTAATAGTGACAGCAAAACTGGGCTTATTTGGATTGTTCCTGATTTTAGAGAAATGCTGCCAGCATTTCCATATTAAAATAGTTTCCTTGTGTTTTCCTTTCCTTTCCTTTCCTTTCCTCCGTCCTTCTTTCTTCTTCCTACACCACCCCACCATTCCCTTCCTTCCTTTTCTTTTTCCTTTCCTTCCCATCCCTTTTCCTTTTTCCTTTTCCTTTCTCCTCTCCTTTCCTTTCCTTTCCTTCCTTCTTCCTCTCTCCCTACACCACCACACCACCCCCTGCAGTCTTATGCCTTTTGTCCTTCTGCATAAATTAACATGCAATGTCAAGTTTCCCAGAGACTCTATTGTAACAGACATGGATTGCATTTCCACTGAATCTATGGATCAGTTAGGGGAAAATCCAGTATCCGTAGAATACCCAGCTTAGGGTAGCTTCGAGATTTTTTCTAAAACCTTCGGCAAAGTTTAACTCATAATCCAAAATGTAAAAAAACTATAAATGTATATCTTGATGAGTTTTCTATTTCTTTCTTTCTTACCCTTTTCCTTCCCTCCCTCCCTCCCTCCCTCCCTCCCTCCCTCCCTCCCTCCCCCCTCCCTTCCTTCCTTCCTTCCCTTGGGTTGCTTTATTTATTTGATTTGTAAGCAAAGAAGAGGCAAAAAAGAAGCCCCTCATTCTGTCACCCAGGCTGCTGTAGTACAGTGTCGTGATCTTGGCTCACTGCAACCTCCACCTCTTGGTGTCAAGCAATCCTCCTGCCTGAGCCTCTCAAGTAGCTGGGACTACAGGCACATGCCACCATGCCCAGGTAATTTTCGTCTATTTTGTAGAGATGGGTTTCGCCATGTTGCCCAGGCTATCTTGAACTCCTGGGCTCAAGCAATCTGCCCAACAAAATTGCTGGGATTACAGGTGTGAGCCACCATGCCAGGCCTCTTAATGAGTTTTCAAAAATTAAACGTGCACATGCAGTTAGTATCTAGAGCAAGCAACAAGATATACGGGCAACACACAAACCCCTCTCATGCCCCCTTCCATTTATAGCTTTGCTAATGTCAAACCTACCTTTCTCTCCCATAGTAAATGTAACGGCTATGGTGCATTTTTTATTTCATTTTTCGCATATGCTACATTAAACACCTAAACTAAAACACTAGCACGCATCAGAATCACCCAGAGGGCATGATAAAACACAGATTTCTGAGCTCCATATCTATATTCTCAGATGACAAGATCTGGGGTGGGACCCAGAGTTTGCTTTTCTAACAAGTTCCCTGGTGATGCTAACGCTGCTGGTAGGGGACCACACTTTGAGAACGACAGCACAAGAGAGGATAGCATGAGGAACCTCCAAATATCCGTCTCCCAGCTGTAGCCATTAACAACTCATGGCCAACCACATCTCCTACATATCCTGTCCTCTCCCCTCCTCCAGATTATTTTCAAGCAAATATCAGAAATCAAAAAAGTACAAAAATCACATGTGGATATCTTAGTGTATCTTATTTGATTTGGAAACATTTCAGTGCATAACTCTAAATATGAGGAATCTATTTTCCTCAACGTTTTATTTTGAAAATACACAAAGCTGAGGAGGTAATACAGTGAAAAATCTTTTGCCTAGATTCACATTATCTCATTGCTTTATCTCTCAGTATTCTTTTCTTGCTTAACCACATAACAGTTCCAAACACTTCACCCAGTTACTTCAGCATGTACCTCCTAAGTACTAGAATGTACTCCAATGAAACCACAGTGCCTCTATCACGTTGAAGAAATGTAACAATGAAGGGGCACTATTATCCAAGTCCACATACAGTCCATATTTAAATTTCACCAAATGTCCCAATAATATCCTTTTGAAAGATTTTTGGGGGGATCAACAATCCAGTCAAACGTGATACACTGCACACGGTTGTCATGTCTCTTTAGTGCCTTCTAATTGCCAATAGTACCCCAACCAATTTTTTAAACCTTGACGATGACATTTTTTTTTCCAGAGGCGAGGCCCGTTGTCTTGTAAAGTGTCCCACAATATGGGTTGGCCTGATATTTGCCTCTTGTTTATATTTACGTTTGACGCTTTGGGAGTGAATATTAAGTAGGTGATGAGTAGTTCACATTATATCACATATGGAGGCTCCTAATGCCAGTTTCTCTAGTTACGGGTGATGCTGTTTGTATTCATCAGTTTTATCACTTAATTAAGGTATTTGTCAGACAGAGTACTACATTGTGAAGGTACTTATGTCCCTCTATGATTAACAAGTAGTCTGTGGCATGATATTTCGATGACATGCAGATATTCTGTTCTCCAACAAAAGTTTACCTCTTGGCCTTAGTATTCATTCCGGGCTCTTGCCTGAATTATTACTTTGATGGCTAAAAAAATGGTGATTTTCTAATTCTATAATTCATTTCTGCTTTTATGGATGGGCATTTTGATGTAAAAACGCTCATCTCACCCCCTTGCCCGCCTAGTTGTTGTTGATGTTGCATTTGCTGCGGCAGAGAAAGTGCACAAGCTGTTTATTCATTTTGTGGAAGAAATGTAAAGAGAATAAAGTGGACAATCTTAAGAGAAATGTAAAAAAAAATACATGATGAATTTGATAAGAATGTTCCCTCTAACAGTCTAATCAGATTGACAAAATTTGTTGCCCAAAATTAGAATTAATTGGTCAGCAACAGCAAAAAAAAGCAGTTTATGATCATTATTAAGAGGGTCTGAGGTTATTAATTCGGCCAATTAAAAAAATGGCTTGAATCTTGTAGAACACACACACACACACACACACACACACACACTTTAGGTGGAGACATCGTAAAAAGATATTA